TAATCGTCTATATTCACCTATCATGAAAACATATAGGCTGTTTTCCATATATACCTTTTTTACCAAATTGCTATCAAATCACGCCGTTATTTCAACTTGACCTAGTCATATGAAAATACGCAGATGTGGTATGATTTCCGATGAGACAACTGTCCTCCAAGGTCCAACTGAAGTGGATGTAAGCATTTATAGGCAACCGTACGGCCTTTAACAATGAGCAAAACTCATACTATATAGTCGGCTTTAAAGGCCCAGACATGATAAATATGAAACAATCAATTGAGAATTGAGAAAACTGGCGACCTTTTCATAACAAAACCAGTTACGGAAAAAAAAACATGAACCAACGGCGGGGTTAAAAAAGGTTTGAAGACGCCAACCCTCTCCTAGCCTGGGAAAGAGGTGTAACAGTACAACATGAGAAAAATCTATGAAAATCAGTTGAAAAGGGCTTAACTCAGTAGATCAATACATCTAACAAGATCACAGGACTGACATGACAGGGTATTCATACATCCCTGAAAACAAAATAGACACAAAGTACAGATCCGAGGGTACTTACAGTCACTGACAACTAGTTTAAAAAAATAACAGCTAATAAACAATGCATGTATCTAAGACTAACATATCAATTCGTAACATCCATTTAGTGTAAAGACACCATAAACAGTCAGAGAAAAACATGACCTGTGCAATGCCAAAATGTAGGTACATTACCGTAAATATAGGATGTACTATGACGCTTTAAATCAGTTTTCTACAGGTGCAACCAAACTTCCAAACCAAATCTTTTTATCTATTGAAGAATTTAGTAAAGGTTTAAGACAATTTGTGGTAACGAAATCCCTGACCTAATCATTTACCAGAAATACATAGATTACGCTTATTGAAATTCAAAACGTCACTACAGACACGGGCATAGCGAACGATTTAGGATATATAAACAATATAAGACGGTGCCAAAGGAACATCACTGTCCAAAAAAGGAAAATTAACTCTAAGGGAAAGAAAAATCGTCACCTTTTCAATAATTATTGTGTAGAGTTTCTTGTGTAATATCGAAACATCTAAATCTAGGAAAGGACAGTTAGTGCTATTAATATTTGATTTATTTATATTTAGTTACTTTGGGTAAATTTTCGGCAGTTTTACTTTAGATAATTCTTGATTATATAACAAAAAGATTTCAATAATTTAACCGTAAGTGTTGTTAAATTAATCATTTATACATTTTTTAAGTTAACAAATCATTTTGAAATCGTCAACTTTTTGTTAAGGCTAAACTGGTTCAAATAATGTTCTGATTTTTTCAAGCTAACAAATTGTGAGGAAACTAAACCATTGTTAGAAACAAATCGTTTTAAACTCATAGCCTTGAAAGAAAATATAATAAACTATGGTCCTCATTATTTATAGCGGATGATTTAGTAGTGGTAAGTTAAGTGAATCATTATCAAATCATATCTACAAATCGCGAAAACATAATTTAAATCTGGTATTACAAATAACTTGAAAACAATTTATTGAGATTTTTTTGCGGCGGTTTCAAATATCTAGAAATACTAGAACATCTGGTTTGTAGATTAACAGATTGTGTCCTTTTCCCCATGGTGACGTTTTGTCCGAGTATGGTTAGCATGGCGAGTGATATATGCATTGCAGGACATGCTTACTCTTATTTTCGTTGGAAAATGACTGTACCAAGTCCGGAATATGGCTTTTGTTTTTAACTAGTTCCGTTTATGGGAAGCGTTGGTTTTTGTCAGTTTGTATGGAATTTCCGTTTTTTAATTTGCATAGAAGTTCGCTATTTTTGTTGTACCTTTTTTACGCATCCGATGCATTAATCATTTATACATTCTTCACGTTAACAAATCATTTTGAGATCGTCATCTTTTTGTTAAAACTTAACTGGTTCAAATCATGTTCTGATTTTTTTTAAAATAACAATTTGTGAGGAAATCAAACCATTGTTAGAAACAAATCGTTTTAAACTCATAGCCTTGAAAGAAAATATAATAATATCTTTTCTGAACACCAAACAAATGTACAACGTTTCCAATCTATCATTCACACTGTATTGAGAGTTTTCACAACAAACAAAGCTATTTACATTATTTGGCGTTTCGTTTCCCTCATTTCTATCGCACCTCAAACATTATTGTCATGGTGATCTTGTAACCACAATTTATAATTAGCTGACAGACCAAATCTAACTTATAAGTAAATCAAGTTCTGTCCAGTGTTATCTGTCAATCAGAACACCTCAAATGCATTTAGTATAAAGACTTCATCAGTACGAACTTGTGGTCATCTCGTAACCAACATGTATAGCTAACTGAAAGACCAAAACTAACTTGTAAGTAAACAAAGTTCTGTTCAGAGTTATCTGTCAACCAGAACAAATCAAATGCATTTAGTATAAAGACCTTGTGCAATGCCGAAATATTAGCATCGGTATGATTTAGGACAGTTAGTGGTAATAATTGTGTATCAATTATATGTTAAGCTATGTTTCAAACTATTCCTTATAGATAGAGGGTTGCTGCTCACAAGGAAGCTATTAAACCAAGAGTTCCAAGTAATGAAGTTGAAATCGTCCCTTCTACAATTTGACGGACGCCATCACTAGTTGGTTGATCGATATGGAATATCTGTTTCACAGATGATAGTGGATATGTTACAATTGACGTAACTACAATCCCGTCCCCTTTTCCCCGAATGTGACCTACCGATTTAGACTTATTACCGAGTTTGTACCAACATAAGCAAAACGACGGGTGTCACATGTGGAGCAGGATCTGCTTACCCTTCCGGAGCACATGCGATCACCCTCAGTGTTTGGTGGGGTTCGTGTTGCTCAGTCTTTAGTTTTCTATGTTGTGCTTTGTGTACTGTTGTTTGTCTGTTAAATGTTGGACATCATATTAAATATTGAAATGTATCTCCCTTATGCATAGCTCTGATTCTTTGTCCTCCCATGATTTGTTTTTCCGTTTTGGATTAATTTACCCTCAGCGTTGGTACTAGGTTTTAAATTTTCAAACATCATCCCGAAGAGATATTATTGTCAAAATGCGTAATGTTCCTCAATTTTGTCATTTATCTAACATTCCAGCTGTTTCGATTCGAGTTTCGAGTGATACCGATGTGTTTTATGTAGACGAAACTCCTGGTTTGTGTTCTTAATTATGTAGTAGAGAGTTGATAAGAAGTAGTGGATTCGTAAACGATAATCAACGAGCGACTTTAGTCGCAAGTTGATTATCGTTTCCAAATCCACTACTTCTTATCAATTCTCTAGCTTAACCCATTTCTAGTAAAACGACTGTCTGTTTTACGCTTTGACAATGAATCAACGATATTTCATAAAAATAGTTTCGTATTTTGTCTTTTTTATTCTATAATAGATGGAAATGATTGTATCCACACGGTTCGCATCTATATTTAGACATTTGACAAGTTAACATAAGTCTAAGATAACTTAAATGGGGTGTAAGTTCCCCCTTTTAACACCAGATTTTATTTTTGTTTATACATATTTCATTTAATGTTTAATCATTACAAAATATTTAAATTTAATAGATTTTGGTATATTTAATTTTTTCAAAAAAGACATATACTAATATTCAGAATTTATTTATCTTGTTTTGAAAAGTTAAAAAAATTTAATTACCAAAATTTAGAACCTTCAAAATTTATATATATAATGTTTAGCAACATGATTTCGTATTTCGAAGACTAAACACCGTTAAGCCGTTCACGGTCAAATAAATATTATTAACGTTGATGCAATAAAATTTCCATACCATAATGCTCAAATCCATGTTGCTTTCCTAAAGTATTAAAATTATGTGCTTATGATTTAAGTTGAACAATTATATTTAGATTATGTTTAAACTGTTTCCGTTTCATTAAGTTAAGATTATTTTAACGTTAACACATTTGGCATATATCGTTCACCGGTCAATAAACTAGTTTTATCTGTGGTACGCATTCTGAATCCCTATCAGAATTGCTTTTGCTACGGATGTACAATGAATAATAATGTTGATTTCATGAATTTACCACCAGGCTGTTCGAGTAACGAATGTCATAACAGTGATATTAACAGTGCACAGTTCGAACCTTGTATCCGGAATGAATTTTTTTTCATCGTAATTTTTTTCTGGACCAAAATATTGTTGTAATCCAAGAACATGTAGAAGTATTATATATTTCATTTTCATATAATGGCGATGATTTTGTTTCTGTTTTAACTGTCAAAGAAGTAGTTTTAACCCAAAACTAATTCAATAAACATGAACAAACCAAGATATATATATTTCATTATATTTAAAAAGCGAATTATCAATGAGACAGAAATACAGTTAAATGACATGTATTTACAATTAAGCGCTTTAAGAGCACTATTCATATAATAATTGTTGTCAGCCATCGTGGTCTAGTGGTATCATGCATAGACTGAAGACTCTATAGATTATGAAGAAAATACGCGCGGGTTCAAATCCTACACATTCCATTCGTTTTTGAGATGATAAAAGATCTTAAGTTAAAAGTTTAAAGTTACAATATAAGTTCTCTTAAGTTAATACTGTGGTCAGTGGATTCTTGAAAAATAGTCTACAGTAAGAACAATAGACTGACGTCAGAAAATGGGTTAAATGCATGGTAATGCGATAATGGTTTGCATTTTAATCTTCATTTTTTTTGCATTTCTTTTTTTGTTTATTTTAGTATTTTTGTAGTTTTCTATCTTGCTCCTAATCTCCAATTAATGCATACTGAGATTTTAATATCTTAACAGTATGTCCTTGACGATGCAATATTTATGTTCTTCTGTTCCTTACACAGATATCGGTACATTGGCAATCATTTGCATTTGCATTTTTTTTTAATTATTAGTACGTTTATCAAATACTTGAGTCAGTCATGGAATCGAGAAATAAAAAAAATAATTTTGTTTTGCGTGAGGTCACATGATAAGGAAAACAACGATGTCACATATTTGTTCATGACTTTATTACTTTAATTTGCATAAATATTAACACCTGAAATTTGGTTTTCTTTCCCTCTGAAAAAGAAAAGAGGCAGCGTGATATGGTATAAATATTAAATCATTTTGATGTTATACTGATTTAAGACATAATATAATAGAACGAAACTAATGCGGAATGAAGTGCTGATTTCAACTTTAGATGCAATTATATAATTTAGTTTTGAGGAAACTATTTTGTATCCTTAGGGATAATCGATACGACTATAGTCTATTAATCGGTACTAATGGTTGTCTGTTACTACACAATCTGTAATAACAAAGAGGGAAAAAATGTTTTTTCATATTTCAAAATATGAATTTCAATGGCATAATGGATGTATAAAATGGAAAATTAATAATAAATTGCATACATAAGCTCAATGAGAATTGATATTTGAGTTTGATATACTCAATTGTATATAGTTTTATCATAATCTGAGTGGTATTATTTACTCTGGAAAGTACATATAATATAATCCGTGTGCGCATTAAATCTATGTGTTCATATATCTCATTGGCTTTCAACTGATTTGGTTTTCAGCTTTTCTGAAGAAGGTTATTTCAAGAAAGCGCTGCAGACGCACGAAATTAATCAACTGTTATTTTCACTTGATTTGTTTTCACAATAACCTTTAGAATAACACTCAATATTAAATAATACGGGATATTAAATAAAAATTCAAGATGTTAAATTCACTTTTAGAGCCAAACACAAAACAAATATATAAAACAAAACAAAACAAAGCAGAACAAATTTACAATAGAACCTTCATATACCCTCCAAAATTATAACACGTCTCGCAGAGTGTTTGTATTTGCATAAAGTAAGGTAGACTTTGAACTAGCTGTCAGTAACTGCGAGTACACTCAGATCTGTACTTAGTGTCTTTTTTGTTGTGGGGATGTATAAGTACCCTGCCACGTCCACATTATGTTTTTGTTACTTGTTGTGCTGTGTATCGATCTGATGAGTTAAGCCCTTTTCAACTGATTTTTATAGTTTGTTCATATGTTGTATTGTTACACCACTGTCACAGGTTAGAGAAAGGGTTGGGCGCCCGCTAACATGTTCAACCCCGCTACATTCTTTATGTGCCAATCCCAAGTCAGGAGCCCGTAATTCAGTAGTTGTTGTTTGTTGCTGTATATGATATTTGTTTTTCGTTCATTATTTTGTACATAAATTCGGCCGTTAATTTTCTCATTTGAATTGTTTTACATTCGTCATTTCGGGGCCTTTTATAGCTAACTATGTGGTACAGGTTTTACTCATTATTGAAGGCCGTACATGATCTATAGTCAATATCAAATAATACGAGATATTGAATAAAAATTCAAAATGTTAAATTCACTTTTAGAGCCAAACACTTAATTTCTGTGTCATTTGTTTTCTTGTGGAGAGTTGTTTCTTTGGCAATCATACCACATCTCCTTCTTTTTATATTATATGTAACTGTAATAATTTATATGCTATCATAATGTACATATTATCGTCCTGAATATGCTCGTAATATTTTCTGCTGGACTTTTATCAGCTATCAATTAACCTTACAATGGAGTTAAATAAGCCTAATAACTTGCGGATTAAAATCGGTATTATATGTATTTTATAATGGGTTGTGTGTAGGTTTAAGTTGTTCATATTTTTTTTTTCGATGTATGTCTCCATAAAAAGAAAATAACCTGAATGTAAATTATGTCAAACTTGTATTCATCTAAATACATTATTAATGTTAGATGGTAGCCAAAAAGGATTGAACTGGAAAAAGTATCCGATTTATATTTATATTACTACAGAAATAGTATCGGGAGATGCTTAATGCAATACGGGTTGTAAACCAAAACAAGACGTTCTGCTAGAAAAACCCATATTATAAAAACTAACCCCTGCCCTTTGCAAAGGCCATGATTTTTGAAGGGAAAACCCAAAAATTATTCTGATAAATTAAATGAAAAAGGGGGGCACAAGTTTAATTCAAAGCATGATTCAGACGAAAAAGTTAAAGAGGAGATCAAGATTCAAGATTCAAGATTTTATTATCCAATCATGGTCCCGTTCACAAAATACAACAATTTAAAAAAGTACATGATGCCACTGAGATCTTGTTTAAGTTTAACAAAATTCTGTCAAGTTGTTCAGGAAACGATGGACAGAACTAGGAAAGTACGATCGCCACCACAGTAAACTGTTCCCTGAATAAGGAATTTGTTATTTACAGGGATGACAAAAATTACGACATAAGAGACCTGACAATACCCCAGGGTATAGGCGGAAGTTATTTAAGATAGGGTAAAAACTTACGATGTAAGAGCCCTAAATTAACCCCCACCTCCCTAAGTTTAGGCGGAGGTTATATATAGGGAAGGCAACATTTAAATTGTAAACGATTTGACTTAACCACAGGGATAGATGGAGGTTATACAAAGTGATGGCAAAACTTGCATTGTAAAATCCCTGACTTAACCCCAGGATAGTTGCAGGTTATGTAAAGGGATGGTAAAACTTCCGATATAAAAGCATTGACTTAACCCCCAGGTATAGATGGAGATTATATAAAAATATGGTAACCTTACGCTGTAAGAGACCTTACCCTATCCCCAGGAATAGGCGGAGGTTATATAATGGGATAACAAAACTTATGATGTAAGAGCAATGCCTTAACACCTATGTATAGGCGGAGGTTATATAATGGGATAACAAAACTTATGATGCAAGAGCAATGCCTTAACACCTATGTATAGGCGGAGGTTATATAATGGGATAACAAAACTTATGATGTAAGAGCAATGCCTTAACAGCTATGAATAGGCGGAGTTTATATAATGGGATAACAAAACTTATGATGTAAGAGCACTGCCTTAACACCTATGTATAGGCGGAGGTTATATAATGAGATAACAAAACTTATGATGTAAGAGCACTGCCTTAACACCTATGTATAGGCGGAGGTTATATAATGGGATAACAAAACTTACGATGTAGGAGGCCTGACTTAATCCCAAGGTACAGGCGGAGAGTGTATATAAGGATTACAAAACTTACGATGTAAGAGGCCTGACTCAATCCCCAGGTACAGGCAGAGAGAGTATAAAGGGATTACAAAACTAACGATGTAGGAGGCCTGCCTTAATCCCCAGGTACAGGCGGAGATTATATAAAGGGATGACAAAACTTACGATGTAAGAGGCCTGACTTAACCCCCAGGTACAGGCGGAGATTATATAAAGGAATGACAAAACTTACGATGTAGGAGACCGGTCTTAATCCCCAGGTATAGGCGGAGGTTATATAAAGTGATGGTCAAGCTTACAATGTAATAAACCTGATTTAACACCCAGGTATAGGCGGAGGTTGTATAAAGAGATGGTCAAGCTAACAATGTAAAAGACCTGATTTAGTCCCTAGTTCGAGGCGGAGATTATATAAAGGGATGGTAAAACGTACGATGTAAGAGACCTGACTTAATCCCCAGGTACAGGCGGAGATTATATAAAGGAATGACAAAACTTACAATGTAAGAGACCTGGCCTATCTACCAGGTACAGGCGGAGATTATATAAAGGAATGACAAAACTTACGATGTAAGAGACCTGGCCTATCTACCAGGTACAGGCGGAGATTATATAAAGGAATGACAAAACTTACGATGTGAGAGACCTGGCCTATCTACCAGGTATAGTTAGGGGTTATATAAAGGGATGGTTGAACTTACGATGTAAGCGACCTGGCCTATCTACCAGGTACAGGCGGTTGTATTCTAGCTGTTGCGTTAACTACACCATTTTGATTTCTTGCAGAACATGTCCAGTAGCCATAATGCGCCTTTGTTATAGTCATATCAAGAATTTGGCTTTCCCTCATCAGCTGAATAGGTGGTGTTGTCACAACTTTATTTGACTGCAATAAGAATGAATGATATGCTATAAAAATATATACATGTGTGTGTGTGGCAAATCAAGAGAACAATTCGTTTACAAAAAAAAATGTGTTTTACTTCTCTTAAAATTTTGAAAAAACTAATTATTTAAACGAATTTGAAATGACGTTTTTTTTTATTATTTTAATCTGGACTCATCTGTAAATGATAAAGAATGAATGAGTAGGACACACTGTTCAGTAAATTATACAAATTCTAGCTGTTCTATATATACACGTGGATCGTGATGGGGTTTACAGAATAGAGAATAATTGGCAATACGTGCAGAATAAAGACCAAAAAATATAAAGAATAAAGAAATATATGGCAAAAAAAATAATGAATAGAGAATAATGGGCTGCTCAAATTTAAAAGATAGAGAAAAATGATAAAAAAATATAGATAATAAAGAAAAAAGACTAAAGAACTATCATAGTTCATTGAAGTGTATTTTTGGCATAATGCCCTCAGATTAAAAACGATACCAATTCAAAAAAAGAAAATCCAAAATGGAGACTTTGTAAAATTTGACGAGATGGTCAGAGGTTCATAATGACAATTGAAGCTATTTTCAATGTGGAACTTTTTTTAATTCAATGAACAATCAAAACAATAATCTATGTTTGCGGTGAAAGTACGGCTGTAGAATACGTATAGGGTATCACTGAGAGGAAAATATGGAATTATAACAATAATCTGGTACAGAGTTCTCTCTTTGCATCCGCACTTTTTATTTGACTTTCTGTGCTCATTTTGCTTTAAATCGTAGAACCTTCACCCCTTTGGTAGCTTTCGGTTCTCTTGTCTAATACCAAGGTTACGAGTTTGAATATCAATTTGGTAGCTTTCGCTTCTCTTGTCTAATACCAAGGTTACGAGTTTGAATATCCATTTGGTATCTTTCGCTTCTCTTGTCTAATACCAAGGTTACGAGTTTGAATATCCATTTGGTATCTTTCGCCTCTCTTGTCTAATACCAAGGTTACGAGTTTGAATATCCATTTGGCATCTTTCGCTTCACTTGTCTAATACCAAGGTTACGAGTTTGAATATCCATTTGGTATCTTTCGGTTCTCTTGTCTAATACCAAGGTTACGAGTTTGAATATCCATTTGGTATCTTTCGCTTCTCTTGTCTAATACCAAGGTTACGAGTTTGAATATCCATTTGGTATCTTTCGCTTCTCTTGTCTAATACCAAGGTTACGAGTTTGAATATCCATTTGGTATCTTTCGCTTCTCTTGTCTAATACCAAGGTTACGAGTTTGAATATCCATTTGGTATCTTTCGCTTCTCTTGTCTAATACCAAGGTTACGAGTTTGAATATCCATTTGGTATGGTATCTTTCGCTTCTCTTGTCTAATACCAAGGTTACGAGTTTGAATATCCATTTGGTATCTTTCGCTTCTCTTGTCTAATACCAAGGTTACGAGTTTGAATATCCATTTGGTATCTTTCGCTTCTCTTGTCTAATACCAAGGTTACGAGTTTGAATATCCATTTGGTATCTTTCGCTTCTCTTGTCTAATACCAAGGTTACGAGTTTGAATATCCATTTGGTATCTTTCGCTTCTCTTGTCTAATACCAAGGTTACGAGTTTGAATATCCATTTGGTATCTTTCGCTTCTCTTGTCTAATACCAAGGTTACGAGTTTGAATATCCATTTGGTATCTTTCGCTTCTCTTGTCTAATACCAAGGTTACGAGTTTGAATATCCATTTGGTATCTTTCGCCTCTCTTGTCTAATACCAAGGTTACGAGTTTGAATATCCATTTGGCATCTTTCGCTTCTCTTGTCTGATACCAAGGTTACGAGTTTGAATATCCATTTGGTATCTTTCGCTTCTCTTGTCTAATACTAAGGTTATGAGTTTGAATATCCATTTGGTATCTTTCGCTTCTCTTGTCTAATACCAAGGTTACGAGTTTGAATATCCATTTGGTATCTTTCGCTTCTCTTGTCTAATACTAAGGTTACGAGTTTGAATATCCATTTGGTATCTTTCGCTTCTCTTGTCTAATACCAAGGTTACTAGTTTGAATATCCATTTGGTATCTTTCGCTTCTCTTGTCTAATACCAAGGTTACGAGTTTGAATATCCATTTGGTATCTTTCGGTCCTCTTGTCTAATACCAAGGTTACGAGGTTACGAGTTTGAATATCCATTTGGTATCTTTCGCTTCTCTTGTCTAATACCAAGGTTACGAGTTTTAATATCCATTTGGTATCTTTCGCTTCTCTTGTCTAATACCAAGGTTACTAGTTTTAATATCCATTTGGTATCTTTCGCTTCTCTTGTCTAATACCAAGGTTACTAGTTTTAATATCCATTTGGTATCTTTCGCTTCTCTTGTCTAATACCAAGGTTACTAGTTTTAATATCAATTTGGTATCTTTCGCTTCTCTTGTCTAATACCAAGATTACTAGTTTTAATATCCATTTGGTATCTTTCGCTTCTCTTGTCTAATACAAAGGTTACGAGTTTGAATATCCATTTGGTATCTTTCGCTTCTCTTGTCTAATACCAAGGTTACGAGTTTGAATATCCATTTGGTATCTTTCGCTTCTCTTGTCTAATACCAAGGTTACGAGTTTGAATATCCATTTGGTATCTTTCGCCTCTCTTGTCTAATACCAAGGTTACGAGTTTGAATATCCATTTGGTATCTTTCGCTTCTCTTGTCTAATACCAAGGTTACGAGTTTGAATATCCATTTGGTATCTTTCGCTTCTCTTGTCTAATACCAAGGTTACTAGTTTGAATATCCATTTGGTATCTTTCGCTTCTCTTGTCTAATACCAAGGTTACGAGTTTGAATATCCATTTGGTATCTTTCGCTTCTCTTGTCTAATACCAAGGTTACGAGTTTGAATATCCATTTGGTATCTTTCGCTTCTCTTGTCTTATACCAAGGTTACGAGTTTGAATATTCATTTGGTATCTTTCGCTTCTCTTGTCTAATACCAAGGTTACGAGTTTGAATATCCATTTGGTATCTTTCGCTTCTCTTGTCTAATACCAAGGTTACGAGTTTGAATATCCATTTGGTATCTTTCGCTTCTCTTGTCTAATACCAAGGTTACGAGTTTGAATATCCATTTGGTATCTTTCGCTTCTCTTGTCTAATACTAAGGTTACGAGTTTGAATATCCATTTGGTATCTTTCGCCTCTCTTTTCTAATACCAAGGTTACGAGTTTGAATATCCATTTGGTATCTTTCGCCTCTCTTGTCTAATACCAAGGTTACTAGTTTGAATATCCATTTGGTATCTTTCGCTTCTCTTGTCTAATACCAAGGTTACTAGTTTGAATATCCATTTGGTATCTTTCGCTTCTCTTGTCTAATACTAAGGTTACGAGTTTGAATATCCATTTGGTATCTTTCGCTTCTCTTGTCTAATACCAAGGTTACGAGTTTGAATATCCATTTGGTATCTTTCGCTTCTCTTGTCTAATACTAAGGTTACGAGTTTGAATATCCATTTGGTATCTTTCGCTTCTCTTGTCTAATACCAAGGTTACTAGTTTGAATATCCATTTGGTATCTTTCGCTTCTCTTGTCTAATACCAAGGTTACGAGTTTGAATATCCATTTGGTATCTTTCGGTCCTCTTGTCTAATACCAAGGTTACGAGGTTACGAGTTTGAATATCCATTTGGTATCTTTCGCTTCTCTTGTCTAATACCAAGGTTACGAGTTTTAATATCCACTTGGTATCTTTCGCTTCTCTTGTCTAATACCAAGGTTACTAGTTTTAATATCCATTTGGTATCTTTCGCTTCTCTTGTCTAATACCAAGGTTACTAGTTTTAATATCAATTTGGTATCTTTCGCTTCTCTTGTCTAATACCAAGGTTACTAGTTTTAATATCAATTTGGTATCTTTCGCTTCTCTTGTCTAATACCAAGATTACTAGTTTTAATATCCATTTGGTATCTTTCGCTTCTCTTGTCTAATACAAAGGTTACGAGTTTGAATATCCATTTGGTATCTTTCGCTTCTCTTGTCTAATACCAAGGTTACGAGTTTGAATATCCATTTGGTATCTTTCGCTTCTCTTGTCTAATACCAAGGTTACGAGTTTGAATATCCATTTGGTATCTTTCGCCTCTCTTGTCTAATACCAAGGTTACGAGTTTGAATATCCATTTGGTATCTTTCGCTTCTCTTGTCTAATACCAAGGTTACGAGTTTGAATATCCATTTGGTATCTTTCGCTTCTCTTGTCTAATACCAAGGTTACTAGTTTGAATATCCATTTGGTATCTTTCGCTTCTCTTGTCTAATACCAAGGTTACTAGTTTGAATATCCATTTGGTATCTTTCGCTTCTCTTGTCTAATACCAAGGTTACGAGTTTGAATATCCATTTGGTATCTTTCGCTTCTCTTGTCTTATACCAAGGTTACGAGTTTGAATATCCATTTGGTATCTTTCGCTTCTCTTGTCTAATACCAAGGTTACGAGTTTGAATATCCATTTGGTATCTTTCGCTTCTCTTGTCTAATACCAAGGTTACGAGTTTGAATATCCATTTGGTATCTTTCACTTCTCTTGTCTAATACCAAGGTTACGAGTTTGAATATCCATTTGGTATCTTTCGCTTCTCTTGTCTAATACTAAGGTTACGAGTTTGAATATCCATTTGGTATCTTTCGCCTCTCTTTTCTAATACCAAGGTTACGAGTTTGAATATCCATTTGGTATCTTTCGCCTCTCTTGTCTAATACCAAGGTTACTAGTTTGAATATCCATTTGGTATCTTTCGCTTCTCTTGTCTAATACCAAGGTTACTAGTTTGAATATCCATTTGGTATCTTTCGCCTCTCTTGTCTAATACCAAGGTTACGAGTTTGAATATCCATTTGATATCTTTCGCCTCTCTTGTCTAATACCAAGGTTACGAGTTTGAATATCCATTTGGTATCTTTCGCTTCTCTTGTCTAATACCAAGGTTACTAGTTTGAATATCC